CCTGTCGCACTATGAGGACGCATTTATTACGTATTTTATTTTTTTCTAATTCAAGGAACTTTGTGGAAGAGAATAACTGACGTAGAGCCTAGTTTGGCCTAATTTCGATAGACATACTATTTGTCTGGCTCTTCGTTTTTGTAATCCTTAAAACAAAGATTCTTATGGTAGGTGCTGTCTGAGCTTGTATGATACTTCGGTCACGTGTGTCAAAAGATACATGAATCCAACTATAACTTACAAGATTTTAAAGATTTTTAGAAAGTCTGGAGTCTTTTGAAACATCGGATTACTAGAAGTTAAGGATATTTACAACTTCTAGGATCTTTATAATTCTCAGGATCTTTAAAATTTTTAGGATTTTGTTGGCTCTTTCTTAAATTTGGGATATTAAAATTTTAGTTTGTTTACAATTTGGAATTTCACTATTTTTTCTAATGTATAGGATTTTTAAAAGTTTTAGAATGTCTGGAATCTTTAGAATCATTGGCCATTTTAAACACTTTAAGATTACTAGAAATTTAGAATGTTTAATATTTCTAGAATCCATGAATGAAAATTTTATTGTATAAATAAGTTAAATATAGTACTTGCATCACTCTGTACATAGTTTAACAAACATTGCAAACAGGGGCGGCTGGTCAGGGGCGGCAGGGTCGGCCACGCCGTACCAGTCATTTTAAAATACTTAGTAAGCGTTGAAATTAGAAAATAAAAAAAGAAATAAAGTTTGAATGTACATTAGGATAGATCATATATATTAAAAATATATTTTATTATATTGTAGGTACAAAATAAAGCATTTGTTGCTAATTTTAAATGCTGATAAACACGCTTTGCCGGCGAGATTTCGGCACGCCGTATCCAGGAATGTATTATGCTCGATGTTTCGACTTCGTAGCAGCTTACGGTTTCATCGTTCTCTTTGTCTAGTACACTGTAGTAGACAAAGACCTGGCGGAACGTATGTTGTGCCAGGTCCGGCGAAATCCTCCTTCGCCGTACCCAGCAACGCGAATTTAGTTTTTAAAACGCTTAATATTTAAGATAGCTAACCAAATTACAAAACAATAACGGCTTCGATGTTCTTCAGTGCATACTATTTTTTTTTTAATAATAATTGTCGATTTAATACATTTTGCTGTGTATGAATAATAAACGAAAAAAATTACATTAAATTATCTAAAATTTTATTTTTCGTACATAACTTAGCTACAACATAAATGCGCTTTTTCTGTATTTTTAGCATCTAAGCGTTTTCAGATATTTCAGAAACGAATTTAAAGTTTTAAATCATTTTAATTTTTCAATTATTCAATTAATTTATTTGACAATTTGTCATATACATTAAAAAAAAAATTAATGTAAATGAAGATAGTTAACAGTTGGTACTTTTATTATTACTTTTTTTTTATATTTTTTAACTGCATGTCATTATTTAATTATTATTATTTAATTGTGGATGTCCGGGGTCGGCAAGCCGTATAGCCGCCGGTCGACGCGGAACTCAGTAAAAATAATGTTTTCGGTGGTTCTCAATTAATGATAAAGCAGAACAAGTAGAATTAAGGATTAATAGTATTTGGAATCAAACTGACATTGTCAATTTCCTATAAAAAATTATTTTAACAGGTCGAAACATTTGAGATGTTTTGTACATCCTGGCACGTAAAATGTCAGTGGTTAATGAGTAGCAGCCATACATTACGAAAATATATAACACCAAGGTGTAGACTCAAAATATTTGGCCGACCCGAAATTTTGACCCACCAGCCGCCACTGATTGCAAATAATAGTTATTTAATCAAGTGCTTGGCACCAGCAATATACGTGTATATTTGGTTAACTACATCGTTATTTGAATTTTATTGAAAAACGAAAATTAAATAATAGTAGCAAAAAACACAAAAATTAAGGAAAATTTGCAAAATATACAAATATACAAATACGGGAAATTGTTACAACATTGCAAATCTCCAACAACAATTCAATAATTACTTAAGAATGAAATTCAAGCGTAACAATAAACAAACTGTATCTCTTATTTCCCAACAGTCAAAACATTACGTATCAAAGATTATGCATACACTCTTGCTTTTCTAAATGCTTAAAATCCAGCAAAAACGCATCCCAAGAATTAAACAAAATTAAAATTTCCGACGACCGTTCATTGTCTTTAATTAAAGTTAATTCATGAGAAGTTGAATTTTAAGAGCCATCTTTGCGCGCAAAAACAATACAACTTTACTTCTCCAATTCAAGTGCCGATCTGCTTACAAAATCAAAGTAAAAAATTTTCAAAAAATTTTGCAGTGATTAAAACTGTGGGATTTGGGGATTTCAGTCTAACCCTGTGAGAAAATAATTGTTTTTCCTTTTTGGATATTCCCCATAACACAAAGTCCGCTTAATGTACAACCTGAAATCCGCCAAATTTGACAAAAAAATATTGTTTGCATCGAAGTGATTGGTTTTAAGTAGTTATTAATATCTCAACACGCAATTTATCGACTCTTTAAAACATGTTCACTGATCTATTTCGAAACCAGTTAAAAATAGCAAAATTAATTGAGCAAATATTTATTTGATGTAAGCACCATCGATTTTTTTACATGTTGACGACATCAGCTTACTTACACTCCACGGGATTTTCAAAAATAAATACTCAAGAGATAAAGCAGCACATGTTTTTTAATAATTAATCTCGTCAGCCTCAATTAAAACACGATAAATGGAGTGTTACACAACGATCTTATTCATGCACAGTTCCCGTTGTAGTAACTGCATACAACAATTTATGAACGACTTTCTATTTGTACTCAACAGGTTCTGACGTGAATCGCTATCTTCATTATAAACAAGATTAAAAAATAGCACGTGGCAAAATTCGAATTTGGCGCGCTCGCTTAGGTTGGCAACGAAAGCGTTACAATTCACCGACATTTGCTCGAAAATATGAAGTATACGCACGTCTGTATTATAATAGTGATAAAATAAGAATTATAATATTCAAAACATTTTGTTCGATTGTGATTTAATTAATAATTGTGGTCCTTTATTTTGACAAGACAAACTCATTCACATCAAACTAATTTCTACGTGACATTCTTTCAATGTATAAACATAAATAAATACTTGAGTTTGCTATTACCTAGTGCTGAAGGACATTTTATCCTGTTAATTATGTGCTTTAAATATATTCTAATTCTATGTTCAGTGTACGGATAATGACCCATATGGCGCAGGGACTGCAGGGGTGTTATTTATGTCGCTGGTTTTTACTTTGCAGCGGTTATCACAAAACGAAAATTGTAAAATCAAATTTTGTATTTTTTTTAAAGAGCTGGATTTGTCGGATTGTACTTACAGCCTTCGAGCAATTTTTTAATGATCAAATTAAGAACCTCATTTTCCAGAAAATGTGAGAATACCCACGTCTTTATTTAATTATGATCAAATAAGCACAGTATAAATAAGTATAATAATAATCATATTCAAAACATTTTGTTCAATTGTGGCTTAATTAGTAATTTTAGTGCTGTTTTAAGGAAACAACTTATTGAAATTAAATAAATTTTTACGCGTCATTCTTTCGATGTGTAAACATGAACAATCGAAGTTAAGCATGTACACTGATAATAATACACTCTTCTCCGTTGGTTATTTGCTTTGAATATATTTCATAGTCTCTGTATATCTGAGGACGCAACTTCCTGGAATTTGCAACCCCGCGGCACAGGGGGTTCGAGGTGCCACTTACACTACTGGTTTTGAATATACCGGGTGTCTGGAAAATGTCCGATTAACTCAGCGCTACGCTCTTAACAATCAGCTGGTGAGTCTGGGAAAAATAGTAAAAAAAATCCTCATATTTTGTTTGAGTTACAATGATTTTAAAATTGGTTCTTTTGCTACGTTTAACAACTAAACAACTCATTCATTATCACAATAACTATTAATAAAACTTTTAGTTAATATTTTTCTCGCCCATGGCCATGTTTAATTACCATTTCAGTTAGAATGCACAAATATATGGTATATACTGTGATATGGTTGTGATGTTTTTGTAATAATTTGATAAAATTCCATTTGACAACAATGTTTGTCTGATATAAAGCGAAGGTGGATTTCAGTCACCATCGTTAGTAAGAAATCAGAAAGTAAGCCGGAGGTATTCACGCATTAGGTGTATGCAGTGTTGCCTATTTTACTTTTATGAAAGTACGTTTTTTTCGTAATCTACATCATAAAGAATTTTTTTATTATTTTTTGGGACTTCCGAAATACAACGTACTGAAGAGTTAATCCGCCATTTTCCAGACACCTGGTATAAAGGTTATCAGAAAACAAAAAAAATTGGAGTTTGTTGGAACATACTTCAAAAGCGAGGGAAGTTCTGTCGAAGTAACTTTGGACCATTTTTTTTTATTAGTGTTTCACGGATACGTCGCTTTGTTGAATACGGAGCTTTTCGCTTTATCTGTCATCAGGTGGGTTTGTTTAAATTCTTAATTTTTACGTTATATTTTTGATTAAATTTTTAATGTTGCGTAACATGGACGAGAAGTATCCTGAATGTAATGCCAGCGTTGCCTCTGAAATTTCGTTGCTGTAGGATGGCTGTGATCGATCGATGCATTTTTCGTGCGTAGCGTTACTCCCCCAATACGGCTGCGGCGTGTGATAGAATGTCCTCGCATCTAAAAATCTTGTGTGCTGACTGTGATAACAATTTAAAATTGGTCGAATGTTATTTCTACAGAACTTCCCTCTCCGCTTTGATCCCCGGTAAAAAAAAAGCTTAAATTTAAACCCTATACAATATGATAAATATTTCCGCCACCTCTTAAAAAACCGTCAATATTTAAGTTTTAGTGATTAGAAGAATACATCTGAGTGATAAAAAAATTAGTGTTAGTCATTTCCAGCGATCTGGAATCCCTAATACAATCTAATGTATATATACATGTAAGGATAAGGATTAATTATGCTCACTCTTATTGAATCTAACGCGCAATTAGGTCGGTAAGTTAGATCTCTGAATGCGATGATTAATTATGGCATGTCGCAATGAGTGACGAAGCAAGTTAGATTTCATGCAATAATATAAAAGATTGTGAATAATAACTTTGAATGTTGTTTCGTTGTTACAGGTAGGATTAGGAATTAGATTAAATAAGTACTTTAATAAAAACGTTGTTACAGTTACAGAGAAACAATTCAAGTTTTATTCCCTTCTAAAGAAAAGAAAGAAAAAACGGAAATAACCTCGCATTACATACATTTATTGTAAAGAATAAGAAAATCGAATTTGCAATTGCTATTATTGAGTCAAAGATTTCGCAAATTAATACAACCTTCTCAAGCAACCAGGTATGATTATCTGTCTACAATAAAATGTCGTGTCCATTTTGTTTATTATTATCGGCCGCTAAGCATGGACACTAACATAGTATAGTTCCTACACTCCAATAGTACCTAGTAAAATTTTATTGGTATTTCAAAGTTAACCACCAAGGACCCACAAAACCATAAATCACAAATTCAGACGCAAGAGTTCAGTTCGTAAAGGTCCGTACTGACGCTTTTGACCCATCGTTCGAAGGATACCGAACGGTGATAAACAACTTGATTCTTTAAAGATTTTCATGGCCAATATCTCTGTTAGTTATGGACGGATTTGTATAAAATTTAAAACGTAGATAAACATAATATGTGAAGACGAGATTGATGACAATAAAATGACTTTATCTCAAAAAACGCAAATTTTATTGTCATCAATCTGTATAAATGTTTTATGCAATATGAATCTTTAGGTAGTTTACTAGAAGTATGTAAGATACCGATTACAACACAAGAAACACACCTGAAGTCTTAGCAAAATTAGAAAGTTGTTAGATATAACAATTTCAATTTCATTTTCCCGGAAGAATTAAGAAACATGGGTACAAAGATAACAATAAGCACTTAACCCAGGTAAACACATTTATATTTCTTATCACCCTTCATTTTGTATTTACAGCTCTTCATCATTGCCTACCCACCCTCATTACTCGTCTAGCTCTTAGATAGTAAAACAGATTTTAATTTTAAATGTCGGTTAAGGGTTCGTCGGACCGAGCCCGTATTTCTGTTTTATAAATTAGGCAACTCACAATGCAAGCATTATGGAGAGAATTAGACAGCTGTCAAGATTTTTCGAAAATATGGCTGTGTGGCGTCCTTTTGACTTTGAAAACATTCCATCATCTTCGAGAGTTAATGAAAGTGATAGAGGAAGTGATATAATTTTGTGCATCTCTGAACTAGAAACTGAAGAAACACATGTTTCGGGAAAAGATTAGAACCGGGTACCCGCGAATCAATAGTTTCCGTTCATGAAACTTTAGTTTCCGAAAATCATCGGTCACCAATAGAACGAACGGTACAGTTACTGAAATTATCTTACAATACAGTAAAAAGTGTTCTGTGCAGTAAAAATCCAACTCCAAAAGTTCAGGCGCGGATCCAGGGGGGGGGCAATGGGTGCAATTGCCCCCCCCTGACACACGACCGAGGTACTTTATTTTGACCAATTTCAAAATTTTGAAATCATTTCATTTTGTAAATACAGTACAACCTCTATAACCCGAACTCACGATTGTCTCAACATCCAGTAATCCGAACAGAGGCCATTTGAAGTCGATGCCTCTTTAATCCCAACAAAAACTCTGCAATCCGAACTGAACTTGAAAACATGCATCTACTTCCAAAAATGACGCAAGATCTTTCTGCATATGTTGTATGGAATATTTTGAAATTTTTAAAAATTGCGATATTTCAAAGCACTGAATTAATTAACTAATTATGGAGAAACGGTTGAAGTTATCGGAGACCCGAAATCTACAAGAGAAAGTATTTGGTTAAATTTCGAAAATCGTCGAAAATGGGTCGAAATTTGCATGAGAAAAATTTCATTTTTGAAAAATTTTCCTAAAAATTCTGAAAAAATTCAGGCTGATTCCGACGTGCTGATTCCAAAAATATACCATGTTTATGGTAACGGAGCAATATTTTCGGAAAATTCGCTGTAAAATTCGAATTTTTCGAAATTTTTAAAAATTGCGATATTTCAACTGGACGATACTGGAAAAATGGTTTAAGTTATTGAAGAAATGAAGCCAGAAGTGACTTCTGAGGTCCAAAATCTATAAGAAAATGTATTTAGTTAAATTTCGAAAATCGTCGAGAATGGGTCGAAATTTGCATAATGGAGGTAATACGAATACATAATGGAAAATTTCATTTTTGAAAAATTCATCTAAAAATTCTGAAAAATTTCAGGGTATAGATCCCGGGGTGTTTATTCCAAAAAGATAGCGTGTTTATGGTCACGGAGTAATATCTTTTTAGAATGTATCTATTACCCATTGTTGCTTAAGAATTCTTTAATTTTTGTTTAATAAAACTTAGGTTTATTTCTTGAAGTTTGTTTTCAGTTGTGTATGAAGCTGTTATTCAATTCCCTTTCAGATTTTTGGGAAAATCGCTGATCCGAACAAATCGTTAATCCGAACACACCTCTTTCCCAATTAGGAATTAGGATTATCGAGGTTCTACTGTACACTATACGTGTAATGAAAAGAACCAAATCTCACCTATGTTATGTGAAAACGAGTATACTAGCTAAAATTTTATAAATTTTTTTGTTTAGAACGAATTTCTGGTGGATAGGTAAAATCACACAAAAATTGCCCCCCCCTGAACGAAATCCTGTATCCGCGCCTGCAAAAGTTTACCCCAAAAAATTCCGTAAAGTTACGTCCAGCCGATTACCACGAGGATATGACGGCAAATCTATTTAAGAAATGGTTTCAAGCTTTCAAGAGCAACTTATACACAATCTTCTAGCGGGAACCATCATAGTTATGGACACGATATTAATTATTCTCGCCAGATTAAAAAAATTCCGAATACCGGAACACGCAAGGTGGATATTTTGGAATTTCTTTCCACCAAAAACGTCATTGTACCGCCTGAAGTAAAAACAAAAAAACAATTTTTGGATTTAGTAAAGTCTCACAATTTCGATAAACGGTACGCGATTGACGAAATGGCACAAGCAAATGGGCACAAAGTATTGAAACTTCCGCCGTATTTTTGCATATTCAACCCGATCGAACTAATTTGGGGCGATCTTAAACAGGCAATCCGAAAATTTAACACACGTCCAGAAAGTTCACCAGCGGTCATCGAGTTGATTAGAGACCAAGTTTCATACATTACACCAAATAAATGACGCAAATGTGTGGAACACATTAAAAATACTGAAAAATCATTTATTACCACGCCACCGTCCAACATTAATATTTGTTTGAATACTGAAGATTCTTCTGATCTTAGCGACTAGTTTTTTATTTTATACGTAGGTAGTATTATGTTTATATAATTATTTAAATAAATAGAAATCTTTCATTTAAAATGGTCATGCACCAAATACAATAATTTTTAATGCAACCCTGGATGTTGTCAACCAACTACAAACACTGGGCACTGGCTGTACCCTCCTTTTATTGACGTCATTATCCCCCTGCGTTGTCCGACAATCCGTCAAAGTAGCGGTTGTAAAATTTTACTAGGTACTGATGTAGTGTTCTTTCAATACATCATGTGCCAAGTGTAGAAAAGTGAAGTTTTACCAAACGAGTATGATTGTTTGAGTACGAATGAGCGAAGCGAGCGAGTAACTTAAAAACCATACGGGTTGTGAATACATAATTTTCTATCGAGGCGCGTATATTATTTTTTCGTACTTCATAACCAGATATTATTTGCATTAATAATTTTCAATAAAAGTCAATTGCAGATAAAAACTAATAGTAGGTAACGCTTTTCAATAACATAACAACCAAGCAGAACTTGTTTTTTGCGACAGTTAAACAAATTTAAAATAAAGCAAAAATGGAATAAACGATTCAACGAATATTCCGGTGAGTGTGAATATCTTGACTGCTGCCCATGAAGCTGAAATAATTGTATTTTTAACATATATATATATAGGGTGATGCACGAGTAGTCTGAAAAAATTTAAAATGCAACCAACATTACATGCCGCACCTTACGTGGATTCAAAATTCTATCTATATTAATAAAAATGAATCGCCGAAATGTATGTACGCTCATAACTTCAGAACGACTGCACCGAATTGGACGATTCTTTTTTTTACGTGTACCATATTGTCAGGACAAGGTTTATATGTAAGAAAATTTATAAAAAATGAGACGGCTTAAAGATAAAAAATTTTTAAAAATTTTGCATGGGAATCGCCACTTCGAATGAATTTGAATAGTTGGCGTTCCTGACGGACCTGTCGTTTGACTGACGTGTCATACAAAACTAATTCTTCCGTGCGATTGTGAAAAGTGTATTGCATTTCAAATCCTTCTTTGTTTTTTCGTAAAAAAAACGTCGTTTATTTTAAGAAAAGTGTTGGTTAAAGTGAATTTAGTTACGCATTGCGAAGTTTCTTATTAATTTTGAACTGCCATTCTATTTACCTATGTTCACTTTGTTGGTTTCGACAAAACCTCAACCTTTACCGTTATTCGAGGATTTAATTTGAAGTTTTCAATATTTTAAAATTCTCAAGACAAAATTTACAGATTTGATTGACTGCGAAAATAATTCTGTGTCGTTTTATGAAGTTCATTACAATGCCGAGAAGACGACAAGCTGACATAGGTCCACGAAGTCAATCAAATGTGCGAGGAACTGCCTCAGGTACAAATCGCAGTGATTTATTTCATGGGTAATTCGGATACGGAAGTTGATCAGCGTTGTGCTCATAATCAACATAATCAAACATTGAAGCGAGATATTGGATGGTATGAATAAAACTGAGTAGATACTCATATTCGAAGTACGAAGTACCTACTTGCAAACATTGTATCTCCCTGGACACAAATTGAACAACTACGCGTTTTGTGAGCATTTAATCTAAAAATGGGCATCGGCGTGGCAAATGACTATCTGTCCTTATAAATAATAGATTAAATGTAATATATTTTTGTTTCCTTAAGAATATAGAGTTAACAAAGTTAGTTGAGTTACAAAAGTCTCTCTTGCTCCACGTTGGCCACCAACGAGCGATTTTCATGATTTTTGTGAAACTTTGCTGGTTTCGAATTTGAATTTTCTGTCCTCGATAGTTGATGCTCAGCAAGAACCACGGGAAGGTCTGGAGCAGATCTCGCTAGGAAAGGAGAGGGCAAGGATTTGTTAATGAGGGATAGAACGTTATACAGTACAATACAATGGAAATACAATACAGGTACCTACAATCTAACTACAATACAGAATACACTACAGATACAGATAAAATTCAGATACAATACAAATGCAAAGTTAGTACCCAATACACCACCGGAAGAAATTGCACCAAAAATTGAGAATGTTGCAAAATGAAAACCCAAGCAAGCACACCGATGGAACTCGGGACGAAATCTACAGGTCGCAGCGCTCACACGCCCAAGGGAGGAACGCAGCCGCATAAATCCAAGGTCGTCTTACCTCATTCTCAAAGAGCGATACAACCCAGCGTCTAAGGGCCAACAGAACCCCCCCCCCCAGGCCAGAGCGTCTGACGACATGGAGAATTCAGACTCGGAACCAAAGAATGCACTGTTGGAAAATTAAAACCCACGCAAATGCATCGTGAAAACAAAGCATCAAGACCCAAACAATACGAGGAGGTCTGGAGTGCGTCTTGCCATTAAAAAAGAGGACTAGAGTTTGATAGCATGGGTGAAGGACACCGTATCTTGTAAATTTGGACGCCGTAGTTTAAAAATGATGCATACTGTATGTACTGAATGCATGTTATTAACAACATATTTCAAAAAAAATCGGGCATTTTTGGAAAAATATCCACTTTCTTTCGTGTTCACAGCACTTAACACAAAAGATTTTCGCTAATATTTATTGACAATAAATTAGAAATTCGCGAACACGTGCTACTTTTAACCCAAAACGGAGCTCCAGTGTTGCTGCTGACCGGAATCAAAACTGAACAGAAAGGATCGAAAATGTGACCTTTCATCAGGTAGCTCACGTGACAGTGACGTCATCGTACGTCACGATGAGATTGCAAAAATTATTTTTCATATTTTAGCTCAGAAATTGTACATTTTTGTGGTTAATTTAACAATGTTTAAACAAACTAATTTGTTTTTGCTAACCTCGTGTTCTTAGGAAAATGGATTTCGGTTTAATTATCATATATTGATAGTTATCGTATTTGAACATTATGAATTATATTAATTATGTTTAAATTTTATTTAATTATACCGCGAAAATGTATAGCTTTGACCCACCAACTTCAATCGTTTCGAAAATTTTTCCAAAATTTAAACTTTGTCGAATAAACGAATCATGGAATCCGATAAATTAAAACTGAAGTCGTACTTACTTTGTTTTCGGTCCTTTTCGGAAAAATATCCATTTTCGTTCGTGTTCACAGCACTAACAGAACATATCTTTCGTAATATGTATTAATAATAAACTAGAAATTCCCTAAAACGCTCGACTTTTACGCCAAAAGGAAGCGACGATCTTGCCGGCATCAAACAGAAATTAATACTGAACACAAAGGACCGAAAAACGTGACCTTTATACAGGTAGCTCACGTGACATTGACGTCATCGTACGTCACGATGAGACTGCAAAAATTATTTTTCATATTTTAGCTCAGAAATTGTACATTTTCGGGGTTAATTTAACAATGTTTAAACAAACTAATTTGTTTTTGCTAACCTCGTGTTCTTAGGAAAATGGTTTTCGGTTTAATTATCATATATTAATATTTATCATATTTAAACATTGTGAATTATGTTAATTATGTTTAAATTTTATTTAATTATATCGCGAAAATGTATAGCTTTGACCCACCAACTTCAATCGTTTCGAAAATTTATCCAAAATGTAAACATTGTCGACCAAACGAATCACGGAATCCGATAAATTAAAACTGAAGTCGTACTTACCCTGTTTTCGGTCCTTTTCGGAAAAATATCCATTCTCGTTCGTGTTCACAGTACTAATACAACACATTTTCACTAATATTTATTAATAATAAATTAGAAATTCGTGAAAAGGACCCTACTTTTAAGCCAAAACGGACTCTGATGTTGCTGCCACCAAACCGAAATCAAAACTAAACACAGAGGACCGAAAAATGTGACCTTTTATCAGGTAGCTCACGTGACAGTGACGTCATCCTACGTCACGATGAGATTGCAAAAATTATTTTTCATATTTTAGCTCAGAAATTGTACATTTTCGGGATTAATTTAACAATGTTTAAACAAACTAATTTGTTTTTGCTAACCTCGTGTTCTTAGGAAAATAGTTTTCTG